TTATATGGACGTTGTATTTAAAAATCATGCAAATATTCTCACCCCATTATGTACCATTATAATAATATGTCAAACTTTAGCCTTCGTTTAAATTAATCAATCGACTTATAAAACAATTCCTCAATCACACTTTTTTTTAAGTAAACTACGTATTTAATATCTAAACTATCGATTTTGAATCGTTTTAGTACCTAAACTTTTAATTTTTTCAAAATTATACATAACATTTAGTTTTCATTTCATTTTACTATCCCGCTATTAAAAACTTAATACATTTAGTACTTAAACAATCAATTTTAGTCCGTTTTAGTATCTAAACTTTCAGTTTTTTCAAAACTTAATGTTAAATTTTGATTGAAGTTACTAAAATGAAACAAAACTAATAATTTATGTATGGTTTTGAAAAAAATTAAAAGTTTAGATACTAGATTTGCCAGCACGATAAGCGGATGAACTGCAAAGACAACATGCATCATCTAAGTAGGGATGGCAGTATGACTTGAACCCGACGGGGAAACCCGAAACCCCGGTCAAGTTCGGGTCGGGTCGGGTCGGGTTGAATGATATCGGGTCGAGTATCAGGGATTTTTTTCGAGGATTTTTTTGGGTCGGGTTCGGGTTCGGGGCAAGGTATCCCCGCCCCGATTATATATATATATATATATAAATAATATTTTATATTAATTATATATAAAATATTTTTGGGTTCGGGTATAATATTTCGGGTCGGGTTCGGGGACGGGGCAAAAAAAATCCCCGACGGGGCGCCCGATAAAAAACCCGTCGGGGATCGGATCGGGGATTCATTTCGGGTTGGGGGACGGGGCGAGCAAAACCCGCCCCGAACCCGACACGTTGCCATTCCTACATCTATGTCCAAGATAATTCATTTGATTGATCTAAAAGGGGAAAAAAGGAGGATCAGGGAATATACATGAAATGCAACTAACCTGAAATTTCTAGCAATTTTTCGACAAAACTCCTTAGTATGCAGTACATCTCTTGGTTCCATTAACAATTTCTCCATCTTCTTGATCTGTACATAAATACATAATTTTAATACGTGTGCACGAAGCATCATACAATGAATCAGAACTATGACATACTAAATCCAGAATCAAGAAAACAGCTCTAACTTCATATGTTCATGAATTACAAATAGACATCAACATGCATGCAAAAGCTAATCAGAAGCATAAATATGGACAATACATATACTTGTATAGGAAGCTTTCTTTTTGCTTACATTGGGAAATATCCATATACATCCACATACATAAATATCCATATACATACATGGCACCATTTGTTCCAGACCTCACAATTTGAAGCTCGATTTCTTAACTATCTCATTCATAAACAAAACTACCATTGCTAGCAGACATCCTAATGAAAATGAACAAAACAGCAGCAGCTGAAAAAAGAAGTACACATTTGTAAACAAATGGAGAAACTGATAGCTACTCAGATGAAGAAACGCCATTTAAAAACAGAGAAGAAAGAAATTTTCACCTCGGCTTTGGTAAATCCAGACAAGACCGCTCTCTGCCTCTGTCTCGGGCGTGGACGATCCATCAAACACCACGAAATAGCGTGTGCTTTCCCTCTCTTTTCAAACAGAAGCTGTTAAGTTTGAACTCTTCCTACTATAAATTGGTGGATGCAACTGGGGAATGATTGAAGGATTAAGGAAGCTTGTGTATAAGATGGAGAACCCTAACGTCTTGAAGTTTCAATGGCAATTTAAGCGCTTTTAAGTTTTGGATTCGATTAATAGAGCTAATTGCAATATATAACTTTAAACTATGACATTTATTCTAATTAGTCCTTAAACATGTGAGTTAGGGCTATAAATGAGTTGAGTCAAAAAAGTTTAAAGTTGAGCTCAATTCAACCTGAAGGCTAGTGAGCTTAAATTTGTTAAATTCGACTTGAGCTCGAAATCAAAAATTGAAGCTCTACTCGTGCTCAAAAAAACTTAAACTTGAAACATTATCATTCTTAGATTGATTTAAGCTCAAACTCAAACTTGTACCTAAACTTTAATTACATGAAAATCTTATATCATATTTTTAAAAATATATATTAATATTATTACTAATCTAATTTTTTTAAAAATTTAATATATTGTTTTTTAAGTTAATTGCGAGATTTTTGTTTTGAGTATCAAGTAGTTTACTTCAATTCGTTAAAATTTTAGTCGAATTCATTTAATTTGAGTGTTGACCTAAATGTAACCAAGTCAAACTCAAGTAGTTCGTGATCTATCCCGTCTTATTTACAACTCTAGTTATGATTCCCGTTCTAAATTTATCTTAAACTTTTTATTTTATATAATAAAATTATTAGGGTAAATTACACATTTAATATCGAAACTTTCAATTTTGACCCTTTTTAGTACTTAAACTTTTATTTTTTTTCAAAATAATACCTAAAGTTTAATTTTTGTTTCATTTTAGTGCCCATGTTCAAAATTTAATGTTAGGTTTTGAAAAATATTGAAAATTTAGGTAATAAAACGGACCAAAATTATTAGTTTATGTACTAAACGCATTAAGTTTTTTAATGATGGTATTAATATGAAACAAAAACTAAACGTTATGTATGTTTTTGAAAAAATTAAAAGTTTAGGTACTAAAACGGAATAAAACTAATAATTTAGGTACTAATTTTGTATTTTACCCAAATAATTATCATAAAATCCATTTAATTATTGAAATTAAACACAAGGCCGCGAAAGAAACAGTATGAACGCAACGCGCCAATCTCTTCACACGCTCCCAAATCGCGCGGTCTTAGTTTCTCCCTCGTTTTTGCTGGATGAATCTTTCTCCCAAACACAAGTTAAATTGGAAAAAAGAACGAAAACAGTTTTCTCCCAATTTCTCATCCTTTCGATTTCATCTCATCGGCTCTATCTGGCTTTCATCTTCAGTGTATGTACTCTGTCCTGCGCCCTCCATAGTTAGATCCATGATTCTTTTATGTTCATATGTTTACTTTGTTGTTTGGCTTTTCTGCTAAAGCAGGTCTTGTGGCGGACTTGGAAGTACATACTTGAAAAGGCCTGAATTCATCCGTAATAACCGTGCTTCAAATGGAGGCAATGTGTCGCTCTCCCAGCCGGCAGCTGCAGTTCCCGAGATTTCTTCCAGCTTGGTCAGGTAATCTCTTTTTATATAGTTATTTCCTTGTCTTATTTCTGATGGAGTTAATGAAATGAAACTTTATGATTTAGTATTTTATTTTATCTTCATTGTAATGGTAAATATAAGCTTGTTCTGAATTGTTGAAAAGCCAGAATGTGATTGCTAATCTAGATTAAAGCCGAATTCATTGCAGTAGAGAATGAATTTGAAGGAAGTGCTCCGCTTAGAGTATCTTGGACTTTATATTCACACATAGGCGTGAAATGCTTTAGGAACAACATTTATTCTCTCCTTTTGAGTCCAGTACATTTTTCTGTACAATATCCAACTTTGCATTTGAAATTTTTATTGATATTAAAACTGCTGCTGTGAGCCTGTGATATAAGAAATTGTGTGATTACCAATCTGAGGCTAGATAGCTTAGGAGAGATTCAACACCCGGATAACTGTCTTGTGTTTTTATCCTTATTTCAGGAAGTTGTAGTGAAATGCCAAGACATGAACTGGGGCTCATTTTAAACCCTCATGACAGATGTATTTGTTTATCATTTGCATCCTACCCAGGTTCTTTTCACTATATGCAGCTTGTTTGTGCATGATATAGACATATACATGCTATTTTTTTACCCCTGTTTTCTCTTGTGATTAGGCATGTTTAGGGACTTCAGGTGTTTATTTTTGTATTAATACTTCATCTAGAAATGTGTTACAATTTAAAGATTAATCATGTTAAGCCAAATGCTGGCTTACAAATAATTTTAACCATAAAACTTCATGTTTTTGTGGGGACAAAATGTATATCTATGGATGTTATTTACTGTTCAAATCATGGCAATTTAGTAGTAGAAGCCTTCTTGATGCAATTGAGGTCTAGTGTGTCCGGGCTATCTTATTTCAGCTGTTTGGTCAACCTTAGAAGTCAAACATTTCATCAAATGATTCCTGGAAATTTTTATGAAGCTGTCTACTTTAGTCTAGGCAGTCTAACAAACTTAGAATCTAGTTATACCCATGTGGCTGTTCACAGTTGATTGGTGCCAGTGTTTTGATTAGATTCCATGTTTGACAGTAGTGATAGATGTGGTTCTTTTCAGGAATAATTCGTAGCACATGGTGATTTTTTTGCTTGATGTCTATGAAGTTGTTTTCAGCCAATGTTGTGACCATACTTCCAATCATTTCGTTAACTACCCCTACTTTTGGCATAGGATTGGTTTTGCATATCTGAAAGCTATCGGTTTATCATCCACTGAGGAATCCCCATCATTAGGAGGTTTTCAACTTTTGCAGGTTCGTTATGAGCGGTAGTTCTGCTATGCGGTGGACAAGCATAAGGTTAATATGTGGTCGGTTTTAACCTAAAATGTTATTCAGTCTACTCCAAAATGTTATCCAACTAGTAATAACTTCAATTATAACCGAGAATGTTACATTGTGACGGTTTTAACCTAAAATGTTATCCTGTCTACTCTAAAAGGTTACACGATTGATAATAATTTAATGATTTGTTACGAAGAACGTACTATTTTTAGTTTCAACCTCAAATGTTACCTAGTTTACTCTAAAGAATTACATAATTAGTAACTTATTGCAGCCTTTTTTTTAACTTTATAGTAACTGATTTTATTTTAGACTCCCTATTATGAGGAAATTATTTTTGATCCAACTTATTTGGACGGAGTCTCGGCAGAAGGATTAAAGCAGCAGCTACTCTCGGTAATGTCTACCAGGCAATGGGATTCTTTGCGTAGATGGGTAAAATGATTTGTATACAAAACTTAACGTTCTTTTGGATGATTCATCATCGCCCACCATTTTTTTGGAGTACATACCCATTGAAATGTTCTAAATGAGTAAAAAGTTTTTTTTTTGGAGGACCACAAATTGTTTGATGGAGTTTCCTCTACCTCTCCTTTCCAGACAGGTGCTATTTAGATCCCTTATTGTTCTTTAAAGGTGGGGTCTGGGTATTTATTGTTTTTTTCCCAAGACAATTTTATTTGCATAAACCACCATGAGCCTAATTAAACCTTAAACTCTTTCATTATAGTTATTTGAGTAGGAACAAGTACTGTTCTTCTATAACCTGTCCTTGCATTTAGTTGTTATTGTGTCCATGGTGGGATTCTGATCAGCATGGGAGCAAGTTATAGAAAAACGAATACTGATCCTTGTAGTGAAAGTCAAATTTAGCAATTCATATTCTCATCCAATTCTACGTGTCTTCAGCCTTTTCTTTAACAAAGGAGAAGATGTGATGAGGCATCTGTAAAAGACCATTTGAGGGAGACAGAGAGGCCAAGGACAATGTAAATCCTCTTCTATTCCTCTTTCTCTTCCACTCTCTCTTTAATGGGTGGCAAAGGAATAAAGGTGGCATCCTTATCAACTCCTCCTTTAACTTTAGGCTGACAGTTACACGGGAGGGACAGACCAAGATACCAGACAAGTGACAAGGACCACTGTCTACTCTGTGTAAGGTAATGTTCTCATTCCAATCAATAACATAATCTTGGTCTTTCCATTTCCCTGTTTTGGTTACCTCATGAATCATGACCTTGTTTACTTTTGTAAACATACTGCAGCCCGCATAGGTTGCTAGGTCAATATCGATTAATCTTTCTTAATCATAGTAACTTTTGTGAAGTTACTGAGATTAAGAATCACCTTCTTGTTAAGCTGGCATAAATTATTAGCATCTTATACTTAAGCACCTACTTGGTAGTTAAGAACTGCCTTGAGTTACCATGTTTCAAGTTTTCAATTATGGTATGCCAAGTGCATATCTGGATTCTAAAATTAACCGAGTAGTTTTCAAGTTTTAGCTTTAGTATTGTGATAGCTTTAGTCGATTTCTTGAAGGATCAACAGATATGTGGTCAGTTCCTATATTCTGTTAAAAGTGAGATTTAATTTCTACACTTAAGAGGGTTAAAATTCTAATCAATTTGTTAATACTAATAGTATGTGGTCAGTTCCTATATTTTGTTAAAAGTTGAGATATACTGACTATCACAAGATATATGTCATCTTTAGATGTATGGTCCCTCATTCGAATATTATTTACTTAGAAATCAAGTATATATTCTGAGGATTTGGACCCTTTGGACATCGTTAATGATATACGGACATATATGGTTCTCTTATACAAATATAGTACGAAATGTAATACGTCTATTTTTTTCAAGAACTTCTAGCAAATTAAAAACCGAAATGGATATACTAATTTGATAATCGTTGGACACGTAGACATTTTCCTTTGATTCTCCATTTGTCGGCTTTACCCAATTATTCTTCCTTTTTCCCTTGCACGAGGGTAGGGAAATTTAAATTTTCATATATTTTTAATAATTTCTTTGTATTTTTTATCGATAATATATTTTTATTTTCTAAAATTTTGTAAACTTATCCCACGTAAAATTTTATAAGTTCATTCATAAAATAAAATCTTACGTCAATTCTTAATATAGCCCTACTATAAATACAAGGCGTGGCCATGGCATGAAGCTGCCAATTACTTGTCGTTGACGTATAAGAATTTTGCCCACTTCCTTTACAAAGAAAAGCAAGGATGGATAGAAATCGCTTACAACACCAAGCTGCTTGCATGAGAAGGTCCCTCTTCGATCAGGTTTCTCTCGCTTCCCCTCTATCATTGATAATATCCCGACCCGAAAAAAATATATTATCATGTGTTCGAGACTGTTCGACGAATAACATTTTATAGATTTCTCTTGAAAGAGTCGGGAGACCTCTCGAAGTAATGAAAATGAATAAAGCATTATTTGTAGGGTTATCTTGACGAGCCATTCATCCAGCTGGAGGAGTTGCAAGATGATGCCAACCCCAACTTCGTACAAGAAATTGTCACACTATTCTACACTGATTCGGCAAGGTTGATTCAGAACATCGAACATGCACTGTAAGGGGAAACAGCATAGATTCTCATTTTAAGCATCAATGTGTCATAAATATTATATTAGGGTAAATTACGCGTTTAGTATCTAAACTATCAATTTTGATCCGTTTTAATACCTAAACTTTTAATTTTTTTTAAAATCATACCTAAAGTTTAGTTTTTATTTCATTTTAATACTATGTCGTTAAAAACTTTAGTTTTTGTTTCATTTTAGTATCCCGTTCAAAATTTAACGTTAAATTTTGAAAAAAATAAAAGTTTAGGTACTAAAACTGACCAAAAACTGATTGTTTAGATGTTAAACGCGTTATATTTTTAACGGTGGGTATTAAAATGAAAACTAAACGGCAGGTATGGTTTTTTTAAAAAAAATCAAAAGTTTAAGTATTAAAATGGACCAAAACTAATAGTTTAGATATTAAATGCATATATTATCCATAAATGCATATGCAGGAGCACTAGGCCTACTGACTTTAATAAGCTGGATGATTACATGCACCAGTTCAAGGGAAGCAGCTCTAGGTAAACTCTTGGATACTAATTTTTCCCCCAAAGAAACCTTGAATTGATATTACTATATTGTTTATTGATTTTCTTGGTTTTATATTTTTTGTAATTCTCATGAAGCATTGGAGCAAAGAAGGTGACGGATGAATGCACTGTTTTCGGAGAATACTGCAGTGCTGAAAACGCTGAAGGGTAATTCTCTTATCTACTTTTTGTTTCATCAGTTAATTCTTGGTACGAAATCGAAAAGATAATGACGAACAAATAAAAAAGCCACAAAATAAGAATACACATATTTATGTGAAAATTTCTAAAAAAGAAAAATCACGAACCGACGAGAAGAATTTCACTATATTACAAGGGGGATTGTAGAGATCAAATTAACTGCGACACACTTGCACTAATCCACGCAAAACCCTTTTTTCTTCTACATAATCCTTGGGAATCCTGGGTATAAATTTATAGCATGAATTAAGTGGTCTTCGTGATAAAAGAATTATTGTTATTTTTTGAGAACTTGAGTTAGAGTATCATAGATGCTAAAAGTGTGAGTGTTTGATGTCAAAAGATTGAAAGTTATCTTTGAAGATATACTGTCTTCTACTTACCATAGTTTAATAAAAAAAATTATAATGCTCATCGGCTGCCTGACTGACCTCATCGGCATCCTTTTCTACCTAATGACCAGTTTCTACACCTTGCAGCCTCGGTTGCCGGGGTTCTTTCCGGCAAGCACCAGGTGGTTTACTAATGTGCTAATTATTGTGACACAATGTCTTGATCTTATAGGTGCATCAGGAGTTTTCAACAGGTGAACCAAGAGTATGTGATCTTAAGGAGGAAGCTGGAAGTTTATCTTCAGGTCTTACATTTCTGATTCATTCTATTTCTATTATATTATCATAAATTGTAATTAGTTAGCACCGACATTTGTTTTAAATGTTGCTTTGTCTTGTGTTTGATTCAGATGGCGAAACAAGCTGCAGTTTCTCGAACAGCATGACCTGCATGCCCCATCAATGGAAATATATACTGATATACATATACATATACATATATATACAGCCTACACAACAATTAGTTCATTACTATATTTGAAAAAAAAAAAACGAGAATATATGTTGTAAGGGTAAATTAAATATTTGATAATTGAAGTTTACTCTCATTTTTACTCTGCACTTTTAATTTTTTTTAATTTACTCACTAGACTTTATATATTAAATTTTTTAATTGTCGTTAAATAATTAAATGATTTATGACATTGCAACATACATCAAAAGATGTCGTTTTGAATTCTTGAAATAAAAACTAAACACAGACCCAACCCTCTTTTCTTGTTGAGACCTCCAGGTTTTCTCGCAGATCGCCGCCGAGGTAAAAAGAGAAATCGATATTTTCGTTCGTGCAAAACTATAAATTTATTGCATCTTCTTTTCGTTTTGCCAAATATTTTCTGGGTTATGTTAGAAATTGATTGTTCACCATCTGAAAGTTACAATTTTTCCCTAGGGTTTCATCTGCTATTCTTTTGTTTCTTAATGTTTCAGCTTCGATCGGTTTTATTTGAAAAGAAAGTTAGATTTTTTTCATATACATGAATAGTTACCTGATACTAGATGTTGCTGATCTTATATATTAATCCGCGTCTTTGGAATTTTTGATAGTGTGTTAATTTGTTGCAATTAAATTATATTAGCAGTTTATTTTGATTGATTTTTGGGTGAATTTTGAACCTTGTAGGGTGTTGTTTTTAAAGGGACTATTGTGAACCATGGGAACCCCTGAAACTTCACGGGAGCCATGCCCCGATAGAATTCTCGATGATATCGGTGGTGCTTTTGGTATGGGTGCTGTTGGAGGTTCAGCCTTCCACTTCTTGAAAGGCACATATAACTCCCCGAGTGGTGCTCGGTTGATAGGAGGAACTCAAGCAGTGCGGATGAATGCCCCTCGTGTCGGCGGTAGTTTTGCTGTTTGGGGTGGCCTGTTTTCCACCTTCGATTGCACGATGGTGTATGTCCGACAGAAAGAAGATCCCTGGAACTCCATTATAGCCGGTGCCGCGACTGGAGGGTTTCTTTCGATGCGTCAAGGATTCGGTTCTGCTTCCAGATCGGCGATTTTCGGTGGTGTTTTGCTTGCCCTGATCGAAGGAGCTGGTATCATGTTGAATAAAGTTCTCAGCCAACCGCAGATGCCTATAATGATTGACGAGCCAGCACCCAACGTAGCCGGAATACCCGGATATCCAACGGGACAACTTCCAAACCAAGCCCCTACATCAATTGATAGTTTTAGACACGGATCAGCACCACCACCACCTCCATCACCATCATCATTGGCCTCGTCTAATTCTTCCTCTTCATGGTTAGGAGGACTTTTCGGTGGAAAGAAGCAGGAAACAACTACTGGTAGCGGAAGTAAAACTGAGGTTCTGGAGAGCTTCGATGCACCTCCCGTGCCATCATTTGAATACAAATAAGTTGGTTCCTTACCCATTTTGTCACGGTTAGCACCGATCCTGCCTTTCTTCCCGGAACTTCGAAGTGTCTCGACTTATTAAGCTTCCGTTTCGTCATTAAATTAAATCAATAGCTGTTATTACATTCTTATTGTTGTTTTCCTATTGCAAGATACATGCTTATAGAGATGTTTTCTCAGCAGTCAAACAAAAACCCCATGTGTGCCTCTATATAGCTTTTCAAATGTCATGGTGGAATTTTGCTTCCTTGTGTGTTTATTTGGTTGTCCTCCTCCCAGTTTTAAGGTTTCGCATTGCATTGACTAATCCATATTGATTCGTGTTGTACACCTGATTTTAGTGAGTGAGTCTTCTTGCATGGCTTGCTTCCGTGTGCATGTATCATTGTATTTCGTGTTGTATGGTGTATTAGCATTCTTAATCGAACAATTATTGGAACAAACTAGAGTATTAGACTGTCGAACATTTAAACGATTTTTTATTAATTTTGAGTAAATTTTGTGAAAAATTAACTTGAAGAGTAAAAATGAAATGAAAACGATTTGATCTTGATCTTGATATTGATCTTGTCACAAGCGATTTTTGACAATTTAATGGGCTTGTATTTTAATCATAAGGGTAAAGTACTAAGATCCATCGATTATAAGATATATGAAGTTTTTTTACTATTAAAAGTTATAAAATGATCGTAGAATGTTGTTCTGTTGAATCTTTTAACTATTAAAAGTTGTAAAATGATCACCTGATTATTTATTATATTCTAAATTATTTTTTCTCGTTAAAAATTTGATGGTATTTTGAATTAAACATTAAATTTTTAATCGTGATATGATAAAATTTAATTCCAAAATCTTAAACGACTATTATATTCTATTTATCATGTTAACGTTCAAACAATCGCCAATTTTTAATAGAAAATGATGAGTTTAGAATATAATAAATAGTCGGGTGACCAATTTATAACTTTTAATAATTGAGGGAGTTAACAAAATAACATTTCATAGTATGAGGATCATTTTGTAACTTTTAATAAATAAAGGACTTAGTAAAATAATATCTTGTAGTCAGGGGATCATTTGTGTATATTATCCTAATTAAAATGTAAAATTAAAGTTTAGTGTTAAATTTGGATTGTTTTAGAATTTAATGTTAAAATAAATATAATAATTAAAAATTTAATGATGAATGATATAATATATCCTTAATTTTATTTAATAAAAATAATTAAGTTTTTTTAAAAAAAGTAATAATATTTGTAAAATAATCATTTATATATTTGTAATTAACGTCTACAAATTTTCTTTACTTTCGAATATATACCGTTTTGGTTCTAATCCATTTCAGTTTAGGCCTCAAACAAACCTCGACTCTCTATCAGCTAACGAGAGAAACAAACACTCTCTATGCTCACCCGCTCCTCTTTTATCCGTTCTCTTCTTCCTCCTCCCTCCCCCGCCATGGCGTCCGCTATTTTACACGCCGCCGCCGCATCCGCCGCCTCCACTTTCTCGCTTGAACGTTCCCCAACTACCTTCTCCACCCCTCCTCCTTCTTTCAATCTATCTCCCCCTCGCTGCTCGGCGCGTTTCGTTATCTCTTCCTCGTTTAGATCTTCTCTATTTGGTCGGAGATTTCACGCCCTGTGCCGAGGAGATGGAAGGAGGAGGCTATCGAGGCCAATGCGATTCGTTTCGGCTTCGAATAAGGACTATCGGAAGATGAGAGGACGGCCGGCGAAGAGTAAAGAGAAGCAGTTGGAGCTCAGTGTTAGTATTTGCATTGAAGAAGAGTTACCCGGTGATCCTGAAATTTCGGTATAATACTTTATACTTTACAGTTATATTTCAAATGATGCAAGCATCAACTAATTTTCATTGTGATTCTCGAGAAAAATGAAAGAAAATGCTACTGATTATACGTTTTTTATGCTTCAATTATTTTAGGTTTCTTTAAATTGCAAGTAGTAATGAATTTTCTTTTAGTTTCTAGAGAATGAAAGAAGAGAAATCACATAGCGAATTCCAGCTGCCCTGTTTGGTCTATCGCTGAGTACATTTTGCAGAGCATCGCACAGTTCTTAATGTTTATACGTTTTTGTGCTTTATATTTATTTTATCTTTAAATTTCTAGTATTAACTAAATTTCTGTTAGTTTCTTGAGAGAATGAAAGAAAAGAATAGGCTATTTCGATTCCAACCGTCCTCTTTGTTTTAAAGCTGAGTACATTTTGCAGAGCATTGCGGAGTTGCTTCGTCTTAATGTGCCAATGGCAATGAAGCTAGCTTTTGAACGTATAACAGATTCGAATTATAAAACAAGAGATACTTCCATTCAAGATTTAGGTGGGTTTGAGAGCGTAGAGTTGTCTGTACTACTTTGTAACGATGAGTTCATTTGGAAACTAAATAAGGAATGGAGGGATGAAGACCATGCTACCGATGTCCTTTCCATGTCCGAACATATTCCTGAACTTAACCTTCCTATTGTAAGTTATCTATCGTCTGAAAATGTTTTCTATAACTCATGAGTGAAACGGATTGATACATCTTTCTTACTTTCTTTGCAGCTTATGCTGGGTGACATTGTTATTTCTATGGAGACTGCTGCAAGGCAAGCAGAAGAAAGAGGGCACACACTTATTGATGAAATACGTATCCTTATGGTTAGTTCAGTAATTTGAGCTTTCTCCAGTTTGTTTTGGACATGAGAGTCATCATAAGCTGATATAGAAAAAATGGGCAGATAATTTATATTAGACATTTAGACTTTTTTGATAATTTAATTACAAAAATGGCCTAGTATAATTATGGTCTGTATGAAATTGCAAGAAATGATAACTTTTCTTTAGAACATAACACACAACACTTACTCAAAAAAAAAATTCCTGGAGATTGATCTAATTTATGTGAAACGCCACACAAATTTGTTGGAAAAAGACAATGGACATATTAGGGCAGTCTTTCTACTGATTCAGCTTCCAAAGAAGTTAGTATCAGGACAGGAAAACTTAATGTGAGGTTGATTCCACCTTTTTATCCACCTTGAAGGTTCATGGATTGCTACATCTGTTGGGTTTTGATCATGAAATCAGTGAAGATGCCGAGGAAGAAATGGAGGAAGAGGAGGATTTTGTTTTGAAGAGTCTTGGATGGAAAGGAAAAGGACTAATACGGAGTGCATATGATGCTGAAACTAATGAAAACCTTCATATTGAAAATTCAAACGGTACTATCTGTTTTGTCCTTTTCTTAGCAGTTTGACCCTTTAAAGTCTTATTTCTTAACATGTGAGGTTTATATTATTTTTTTCTGCGTGTGTTCTTTAATGATTTTGAAACTAAACAATAAATCATAACTAATATATAATTCAAGTGAGTTAATATTACAGATAAATTGTCAAAGGACAAGAAGAAAGAAGGTAGTCTTCGTTTCTACAGACCGAAGTTCAAATACATCTTCTGTGATATGGATGGTGAGATTATTCCCACTGTAATTCTTTGTCTTATTAATTCCAGTACCATACCTAATGCTTTTGTAACTTTAATGCTAGGCACACTGCTGAACACCAAAAGTCAAGTTTCATTGACCAATGCAAGAGCTTTGAAAGAGGCAGCATCAAGAGGCGTAAAAATTGTGATCGCCACTGGGAAAGTAAGAACAATGAGCACATTTTTCTCATTCTAATTCCTCGTTATCAGGATGTTGTTCAAGAAGTTTACAGATGTATTATGTCTTTATCTAGCAAACTGAAACATATGTATATACGCCTGTCCTATATTTTTAACTTCAATTGTACTAGGATTCTTTACATTATGAGTTGTCAGATAACTCATAACTTCGCCTTTTCTTTGATTTTAATCTGACATCGTGCTTGCTAACAAAGATATTGATTACCAGTACCTGACTTGTTACTTGTCAGGCGCGTCCTGCTGCAATAAGTGTTCTGCAGATGGTTGATTTATCTGGCAAAGATGGCATCATTTCGGAGCACACTCCTGGGGTCTTCTTACAGGTACATTTCCGTTGTCCATGCTGATAGAGTCTGTTTCAACTGCATGAATAGCATGAAAATTTTTGTAACATCAATTTGTAAGAGTAGAGATGCCAAGCTGAAAAGTTGAAGAGATCTCTTCTTATATGATATTATTGGGCCCACACGGTCCTCTAGCTCTTTCTGATGTTTTTCTTGCTTCCTTTTTTTGTTTTTCTTTTATTTCTCCCTATGAATTTATTTTGCTTTGTGGAGAATTCACCACAAAGCTTGTGCGGTAAAATTCTACTATTTCATATCTAACCCAAGGCTAAAATCTATCCAGCACATTTTCAGTGAACCCAACTAAAACACAATGTAAAATTTGATTCTGCACATTATTTTGCACGGAAACCTGTGGCAGTTTATTTTGTTACCATAGTGTTGCTCAATTTGGTTTCTTTAATTTTGGTCGCAGGGATTGATGGTTTATGGTATAAATGGTCGAGAAATTTTTAAAAGGAATTTAGATCCAAATGTTTGCAGAGAGGTAATAAATCTTTTCTTTGAAGACCCAAAATACAAATGCCCTGATTAAGAATAGTCATGTAGGATCCTTTAAAAATAAATCCATTGTTTTATTTAACAATTCAACCTTTATTCAATTTTGCAGGCTGGTCGTTACTCTTTGGAACATAAGGTTCCTCTCGTTGCATTTTGCCAGGATCGTTGTTTAACGCTATTTAATCACCCTCTTGTTGATACGCTTCATAGTGTATATCATGAGCCAAAGGTACCGTATACTGTCATATACTTTTTCCTTGTATTAATACATTTAGTTTTTTGACCGATAAATTTTTTATAATGTGTTTGATACACATAACAAATTTTACAGGCAGAGATCATGCCTTCAGTTGAGCATATGGTGGCTGCTGCAGACATACAGGTAGAGTCCAAGATTCTCTTGTTCATGGTTAAAGCATAGATGCAAAGTAATTGGACTATACATTTTCGGTACCAGAAGAGGGGGGAAAAAGGAGCTTTGGCGATTGTTTTGTTTGTTATCGGTTTTGAGTGGTGTCTTGTTATTAGTTTAACGACCACAATCTTCAATATTCTTAAAAGTCCAGTGCCAATTCTATTTTAAATCCTAAATGCCAAAATACAGAGGCAGTCTTTGCCAATAGCTTCTACGAATCTAACATAGATACATGCATATGGTATTTCTGTTGGCATAAAACTACTTTCAAGAAAGAATACCTCAAGGTGCTTAAGATTCT